AGCTTTTTCCACTTGTCCAAAGGCCACTGAGCAACATGGGGACATGCCCTTGGGCTGCACATTGCAGGGGGTGAGCGGTTGCTTTCAGCCAGCTGCTGCCACAACAAGGCAGGGACAGGTGAGCATCTGGCTCTCGTGCGGGGATGTGAGAAGGGATGAAGGGCACTCCATCCCAACCCCGGAAAGAGTTAAAAGTGAAGCCCTAAGTGCTCACCTGGCTCTGCCAGATCTTTCACCATCTATTTGTGTCCAAGCGTGCCCAGCAAACACACACTGAAGTCCCCATGAATGACTGGAGCACTTCCAGCTGACAGCCGCATCCCTGCTCACCGCCAATGGCGGTGCACCCAGCCTGGGAAGCACTGACATCATCTCTGGCCAATAGCAGCTCCGAAAAGGGATGCAGCAGCAGCCGCTGCCGCCGTCTTGGAGTGAGATAAGTAAAATATAGATGGATGGAAATGTGTGTATACACACACACACCATCACTGCATTGGAGACCTGCTCCCCCAGGGCAGCAGTAGCAGCATACTCCACCGCCCTGCCACACAACCTGGGGTGCTTGTCCCACCTTAGAGCACCCAGATGTTCCTGGCCATCAACCCCAGCTGCACCCCACCCCTGCCAGCGAGGTAGAATTGCTCCAGAGCTGCCACAAAGGAGCACAGGCAAGGGGAGAGGAGACCGTGAGGGTAGCCAGGACTAGTCCTAGGAAGGGCTTTGAACTCCAGAACAAAGATCTTGAGCCAAGATTTGCCTTCAGTGGGGACTGATGGAGATGTGACATAACCAAGAGATGCCTTCAGTCACCTATGGGATGGGCAGAAAGGCTGATGCCTTCTCAGAAGCCATTTAGGTTCCTAGCCTCATTGCAAGAGAGAACAGAGGAACAAGGGTTTTCTTTTCCATATGGATATCAAGATCAGCAGGACAGACTGGCTCACAGCAGGACATGCAAACTGAGAGCAAGCCCATAACAACCTGGGCATTGTTTGTGGTGGGATTTTCTCATGGTCAGACAGGGTGGAGTAATCATTTTTGGGTGGTGCCTGGACTGGTAAGTGCAGCAGTCCTGCATCAGACAGGCAGGATGGTTCTTGGGTTTGCCATGATGATGCAAGGATGTTTGCTCCAAAACACATCACTGAAGTAGCCCATTGCCAGGTGTGGAGGAGGCAGAGAAGACCCCTCATGCAAGGCTACACATGAGGGGTCTTCTCCCCAGACACCTATTCCCAATGTTACTCCATTTCCTCACAGTTCTGCTTCCCAGGCCCCAGAGCTGCTCCAGCAGCCAGAGCAGGGGTGGAGAACTGCAGAAGGAGCTGGGATTTCCCTAGCCATGCTCCCAGCACAGGGTAGGCAGCATGAGCAGGAGGGAGAACAGATGTGCTTGGTGCCTTGGGGTTAGTCAGATGTTATCAGCAGGGTGGGGTGTGAGTACACCTTGCTCTCCAAGCTGACTTCATCCTCATCTGCAACTCCTCCAGGTTGGGAGGGAAGAGCAGGAAAGCAGAATGGAAATCACTCCAGTTTCATAAGATTTCCTCTGCAAGGATAGAAAGCCAAATGCCAGCCTTTGAAGCTCTCCTTAGAGCAGGCAGAGTGACAGCTGCTGGTTTTATACACACCACAGGCATCAGCACCCTCCATCCCTGCAGCTCTTACCCTTCCACTACCAGCTCCAGTCCTTGCCACTCAGCTGGGAAGCAAATCCTCCATCAAGAAAGCAGCACAGAGAGTCAGGGAAGCAGGCAGGGATGGAGAGCCTCAGGAATTGCCTTCTCATGGCTGTTCCAGAGGATTCCCCAGCCCCAGCACTGTCAAACAGCCCATGGGGGCACTCTCCTTTCTCCAGCCGAGCCAGCTTGGCTGCTGGTTGGGATTCCTCAAGCAAAGCTTGGCATCATCTCTGGCACATTTTGAGCTGGTTCATCTGGTGCGGCTGGTTTGGAGAACCGCTCCAATCCCCATTTTCTGCTCAGCTGGAAGATGCCTTGGGGTTCTTCATGCTAGAGCCCAGCATAAGATGGGGTGCTAATGAGAGTCCAGGCTTTTTCCCCACACCCAACCTACAGTGTGCAGCACCTCACATGGGGCTGGGGCTGTGCATGGTGAGACATTCCCTTGGCACAGCCGGGAGCGCCAAGAGATGGATTTCAGCGGCGCTCAGACATCCGCTCACACCCTGCTGTGCCGTGCCAGGCCAGGTTGTGCCAGGCCCATACTGTGCCATGCCAGGCTGTGCCAGTGCCTCGGCACCTGGCCAGCTGGCAGCTGAGAGCCTGGCTCCTCGGGGACATGCTCCCAATGGAGCAGGGGAAGCTCAGGAGATGCTGGAGGGCTCCGGAGGGAGCACGGCCCTGCACAGCACAGCTCATGGGGAGCTCCCACACAGAGGGGAGCAGACAGGTGATTTTGGCACCTTGTTGGATTAGCATGAGAGACTCACAATAAGGAGCTGTCTCAGTTACATCACACCAAGGAAAAGGGCTCCCCCTGATCAGCCTCATGCTGCCTCCCCAGCCATTATAGCCTGACAGCCACTCCAAGCAGTGGATTCTTGGTGGCCATGCAAATCAGCTGCTCAGACAAGGAGCTGCAGGGACAAGCCCTCCACAAGGCTGGAGAAGGTGGCTCCTGACACCCTCTGCTCACAGCTAGGCTCCCTCCTCCATCTGCAAGATGTAAAGCCTTCCTTGCCTCTCCCAAACCTCCTGTTCTCTCCTGCTAGCTTAGCTCATGGCTCCTGGCATGGATGCCAGCCAGCTGCTGCCCAAATCTGGGCTTGGAGACGCTGGGCACTGCTCAGCTGGGCTTGTGTTTTTGTTACCCTGCACATTTGCATGGGGAGGATTTGGAGGAAAACCCAGATGTACAATGCTGAGCAGAACAGGCACTAATCCCTGCTCCAGGGGTGGTGGGGGGAGAGCTGTAATCCAAACTGCTCCCAGCTCAGCTTTGATGGCTTTCACCTGCACAAACAGCAGAGGTTCCTGGGGGGTCCCTTGATGCCCCAGAGTTTGGGGAAACCCTGTCACAGAGAGGGTGCTGCAGGCTGGGGTCCCCCAGCACCCCTCGGCCAGGCCAGGTCTGCTCCGTGGCAATGGATTTGTCTCCATGGAAACAGCATCTGCTCGGCCTGGGCCCCCCAGGAGGCAGCTGGACCCCTGCAGCATCCGCCAGCCACCATTTATTTTTAATCGGGCTCAGCAGCACCGGGTGCCTTTGTCTGCAGGAGGGCCCAGAGCAGCAGCCAGTGCTCAGCTCCCTGCTGCCCTTGGTCGGGGGGGACAATGCAAAAATCCCTGCAGCTCCAGTCAGCAGGACCCTCTCACAGGGAGAGTAAACATGGTTGGATGAGCAAAGAGTTCAGTCCACACTGTTTTCATAGGCTGCTTCCACTCTGCCACCACCTTTGACTTGACAGGAGTTGGGAAGGGAGGAATAAAGGCAGGTCCAGGCTGGTGAGGGCAGGCCCTGGAGAGCACAGTCCAGGGCACAGGCCCTTTGCCACTGCCTCCTTCCATCTCCCCAGGCTGGAGCAGGGTCCCCAGGACAGGGTCTCTGCCTGGTTTGGTGAATGAATGCAGCTACCAGGAGGGATGGAGCATCTCCTCTGGGGAAGGAGAGGCCTGGGGTCAGGGTCCTGCTGAGGGACTCTGTGGGGTCCCAAGAATGCCGCAAGAGCAGTAAAGGCAGGAGAGCAGCTCAGTTCTCTGCACTTTCCCTTGCTCACAGCCAGTAGAGGAGCAGAGGCAATCAATACAAGGCACAGAGCATGAGGCACTGGGCAGAGAGATCAGTTCCAAGGCAAGTCCCTGAGCTGCTGGAGTGAGGCTGCAGCCCCCAGTGTGCTCTGGGGAACCACACAGGGTCAGCTGTGAGTGCCAGCCTGCTCCTCTGGCAGTGCCAGAGCAGTGTCAGCAGGGCTTCAAGCCCATGCCTGTCCTGAGAGACAATACCAGAATCCTGCCCCAACAGGCACTGGGAGCTGGGCCAGCCCTCACTGCCTCCTTGGAGCTGGCACTGCCACCAGAGGGGAGCCAGGCCATCAGCCACCCTCCCTCCTGGCAGCAGAGGAACAGGGCACCCCAGCAGCCCCATCCAAGCTTTTAGTCCATGGCAGTGGCACTCGTGTCCCCCTCTCAGAACACCACACATCTGGGATATGGAGGGAACCCAGGGGCCTTGGCTCCCAGGCCCTGCTCCATCACACAGCTGTGTTGGTACCACAGCAGGATCACCTCAAGGCCACCGTGTCAAACAGAACTGGCCTTGTGAAGCACACAGGAGCCCCAAACCTGTGCTCACATCCCCAAAACATGCTCCACCATGCCAGCAGCTGCACTCTGGGAACACTGGCCCAGCAGCAGGCAAGGAGGGAGGCAGGCAGGCTCCAGCCAACAGACACATGAAACCATCATCCCTTATCTCTCCAGGGGAAAGGAGGGGGCAGATTGCATCCTCCAGGCTCAGGTGCACCAGTGCTGGTGAAAGCTAATTTCTAAAAGCTAATTTCAATGCAGAAGGTTCCCTTTACATTTGTCATTACTGTTTATGCTGCCATCAGGCTAAACACTGTGAGTTAACCCTTTGAAAGAAAAATTGTGGTAGATATTTAAAGGAGGAGCAATAATGCAGGTTTCTTCCTGAAAGAGTGCTTCTCACATCAGTTCAGCCCCAGAGATGTTTAAGGGGTTTTCTCCTGTCCAACCACGGGCAGCACACCAGGCACAGGGTGGCCAGGCACGACAGGGATGTGCCCCTCCAAGTGCTCCTGGTGACAGGACCTGGCCATCAACAGGCACATTACCACATCCTTTGCCACAAGCTGTAGTACTCACACAGGATTACCTGAGTTACTTGAGTTCCCTGGCCTTTGGGGACAGCTGTGCTCCTGGCAGGTGCCACAGTCCCCACATGGGGATCCTGCCAGCCCTTCCCTCCCCAGTCCCTGCGCTGCTGCACTGCCTGACACTCTCTCTTCTCCTGTACAGTTCTCCAAGGAGAAATACATCCTTGACTCATCTCCAGAAAAGCTTCACAAGGAGCTGGAAGAGGAGCTGAAGCTGAGCAGCACCGACCTGCGTAGCCATGCTTGGTACCACGGCCGCATCCCCCGGGAGGTGAGAGGGGGAAGGGGGTGGCTCTGGGCACCCTTAACTTGGAATGTTGTGGGAGAGCACTCTGAGGCCACACAGAACCACCAGCCTCTCCTCCTGGGAAACATCTGGTCCATGGCTTCATTAGCTCTGAGCTGTGTGATTTTGCCACAGCAGATTCCCTCTTGTGGCTCAGAGCTGGGGGCAAGGGGATCAACCAGTGCCCCAGATAACACCCCAGCAGAGCATCCCCTCCTGCCCTGTGGTCCATCCAGCCTGGCTGTGGCTGAGCTGTGCCCTGTGCCCCTGACAGGTGTCCGAGAGCCTTGTGCAGAGGAACGGTGACTTCCTGATCCGCGACTCGCTCACCAGCCTGGGTGACTACGTGCTGACGTGCCGCTGGCGCAACGAGCCGCTGCACTTCAAGATCAACAAGGTGACGGTCAAGTCCAGCGATGGCCACAGCCACGTCCAGTACCTCTTTGAGCAGGAGAGCTTCGACCACGTGCCTGCCCTGGTGCGCTTCTACGTGGGGAACCGCAAGGCCATCTCGGAGCAGAGCGGCGCCATCATCTACTGCCCCATCAACCGCACCTTCCCCCTGCGCTACCTGGAGGCCAGCTACGGGCTGGCCAACGGCAAGCACGGGGGAGCCCACAGCCCCTCCAGCCAGAAAGGGCACATCAAGAGGAGGAGCATCACCATGACAGACGGGCTGACCGCAGACAAGATCACCAGGGCTGAGGGCTGCCCAACCAGGTGAGTGCATGTGGTGTCGTCCCAGCTCAGCTGAGCAGAGGATCGGCCTTGGGAATGAGGGAGGGTGGGCTCAGTCATTGCTCTCTGGGTGCAGAGCAGAGGTTGGGGATCAGGGATGGAAGAGAGAGACCAGCAGAGGCATGGGGGGAAGAACCAGTACTCGGCTGGAACTGGGTTTTTCTCCCAGGCTGGCTGCCAGCCATGCTGAGCTACCACAGCAGACGCCCAGCGAGCAGACATGACTTTAGCATCTCAGGCCAGAAGCCAGAGAGTGTTTTACAATCACCCAGTCCAGGATTACCAGCATGTCAGGGCTTGTTAGAGCCATGGAGCTGAGCTTTCCCAGGCAAACATGAGAGGAGAGTCACTCCCAGACACCAAGACAGCATTTGTTGTTTGGTTTTGAATGGCCCTTTTAGTTTCAGAGCCCTTTCCATTCAGCATTTGCAGGGAGTTACCAAGCAGGGCTGAAAGCCTGATGGGCAGGAGGAGACTGATGGGTCTGTGCTGGTGGAGTCTGCACAGACCCTGGATCACAGCCCTCACAAAGCTGAGCTGTTCACATTAACCTTGGCCAGCTGGGCTTCTCCAGAGGTGGAGGAGGAGACTTCCTTTGTATGGCTCACTTTTGGCAGTCCCAGGCTGCCCAGAGCCCTGCAGGGAAGGCAGGGCCACACACATATCCTCACACGAAGCAGCAGCCAAGGGCAGACCCATCTACCCCTGCCTCCAGCAGGACACAGCCTGTTGTTGAGCCAAGCTGCTTTCTCACCACCCTGACCTTCTGAGCCCAAGGGCAGGGTGAGAATGCACCAGCAGAAAACAGGCAACCAACTGTTATGGCTGGGAAAAGGAAAACACTCAGACTTCCAGAAGAGCCCAGATCCATAAGTCTTTCCTCATTGCTCACATTTTCCCCAAATCCCTTATCACCACCACTGCTTTCCCATTCTCCTCCCACTGCTGAGGCACAGTGCTCAAGACCAAACACATCTCAGCAGCCTAGCCCTCACCCACAGCAGGGAGGGCAGTGAATTACCTGCCATAACCCCCCTGCACTCAGCAGGTTTCGCAGCACCATTGACACACAGTGTTTGCACCAAGCCACCACTTGCTGCCTCACCAGCCCAGGACCTCGTTGCTTGTTATGTAACTTCCCAAGTCTCATTTCCAGGCACTTTCCAGCTCTCCTAAACTCTGGGTCAGAGCAACACCTAACTAGCCCAACACAGCTCCCAAGTAGAAATAGAGTAACACAGTGTTAGATACCACTTTACAGCACAACCTTAGAAAACAATGGTCCATGACTTCTTTGCTAGATTCCCTTCCCCACAGCACTCTGGAGTGGACCAAACTCATTCCATCCCAAGCAGCTTGGCTTGGCATGGCATAGCATGTGGTTGCATTGCTCTGCTCTCCTCTGTAGGAACAGGGTCCCTGCAGGCAGGGGTGTCTCTGGTTTATGGGGGTCAGTGGGCAGTGACCCCCTCTACTCCCAGCTGCTGCAGGGACTACCTGCTCTCTGCTTCTGCTGAGCCTGTTATGGGTACTTGTGGAAGGAGGTGATGATCCAAGGGAGGTGTTGGGGCAGCAAACCCTCATCCCAGCCCCTCTGTGCTTGCCTGGGCCCTGCTTTAAGGGACTAACCTGTGCCCTCTGTCCCCTCCCCAGCGTGTCCCTGCCCCACCACAGAGACATCATCCGCAACTGTGCTGTCAGCGTGGACCAGATCCAAGACCTGCACTCCCCCATGTCCCCCATCTCTGAGAACCCAGTATCACCTGCCTACAGCACAGGTAGGCATTGCCTCTTTATCCCTCTGGGGACAGTGGGGCTGTGGATCAGCCTGGACTTGGCACTGCTTTGATGCAGGGACCTGAGGAGGGGGACTTTAGGGACAGGACCTCAGCATCATTGTGCAGCTGTCCTGGGATCAGGTGGTTCTGTTTGGACAGAGAGGTTTTCCCTGAGCCCTGTGTCCCTGGGCTGCTCCATCTGCAGTCCCTATGCATGTGTGCATCTTCAGGCTTTGATCAGTGTCCCCTCTGCTCCCTACAGTCACACGGCTAAAGCCACATGCCTGCCAAGCATCTGGAATCACCCCAGCCTCCCCGGTCATAAGAAGGTCCAGCGAGCCCCAGCTGTGCCATGGGAACAGCAGCAAACCTCTCGCAGACCCTGCCCACAGCTCCCACTCTACTCCCTGCCACGGGTACGCCCGAGCCTCCCCCTCTCCCTCGGTGAGCAGCTACAGCGACCCGGACACGGGGCACTACTGCCAGCTGCACCCCAGCTCGCCCCTCAGCAGGGACAGGCCGGCCCACGACACCAGGCAGCCGCCAGCAAAGAGCTACGTGGAGAGGCTAAAGGTGGAGGAAGGACAGAGAGGGACTGTGGAGAACAGCTCTGGAGAAGCAGAGGCAGGGCAGAGGCTGAAAGCAGAGCTGGACTTCAAGGGCTTTGTGCCCCCCACCATGGAAACAACCTCCTCCTTCAACCCTGCTGCCTTCCAGTCCCTGCTCATCCCCCTAGATAACAAACCTCTGGAGATGACTGTGCTAAAGAAGGTCAAAGAGCTGCTGGCAGAGGTGGACGTGAAGACACTGGCCAAACACATCACCAAAGTGGATTGCCTGGTATGGCCAGGGCCTGGAGGGAGGGATGGGTGCTGCTGCCCTCTGATTAATCTGGGCTGGCAGGGATCAGTGCATCCCTGAGCATTGGAGCATCCCTGCTGGGCTCTGCCTTGTGTATCAGCCAGGGCAGGCAGAGGCTGGGCTGGGGCAAGATGCTGCTGAGGACAATTCAGCCTCTCCTCAATTAACAAAGCTCTAATTAGCTTTCACCTTCCTTGCCAGGTGGCCCGGATATTGGGTGTGACAGTGGAGATGCAGCGGCTCATGGGGGTGAGCTCTGGCATGGAGCTGCTCACCCTTCCCCACGGCCACCAGCTCCGCCTGGACCTGCTGGAACGGTATGGCACGGCCTGGCCTGGCCAGAGTGAGCCCTCTGGGCTGCCCTGCACGGCCTGCTCAGCCCCCCTGGCTGCTCCCAGCCTGGCACAGGCCAGGGGAGAGCAGCAGCCCTGTCTGAGCCCCCAGAGCATCCCCTCCCTGTGCTGACCCCGCTCTGTGTCTTGCCCCTGGCAGGTTTCACACCATGTCCATCATGATCGCTGTGGACATCCTGGGCTGCACAGGCAGCACGGAGGAGAGGGCAGCCCTGCTCCACAAAACCATCCAGCTGGCTGCCGAGCTGAAGAGCACCATGGGGAACATGTTCAGCTTTGCAGCTGTAATGAGCGCCCTGGAAATGACACAGGTATGGGGACACTCCTTCAGTGCTCATGTCCTGGGCTCAGCCCTTGCTCAGAGTGAATCCCTGTATCCTGCAGGCCCCAAGAGTCACTGGGATGGGTGAAAGGGGAGAATGCCCCGGGCGGGAGGCATGGGGCCACATCCGCTGGGATGCAGGCAGGGAAGGGGAAGAGCCATCCCTCCACGGAGCAGACAGCCTTGTCCCGCCAGGATCCAATTGTTTTTCGGTGGTTGGGCTCTTTGTTTTGTGCTGGGCTGTGTTCCTGGGAGGAAATGAATCTGCCCTCCGGTACAATACAAATCAGTCTCAAGGCTGTGGCAGCAGCGTCTCCGGGCCACACTGCTCCCTTTGGAAGATGAAAGGAGATTAAAATTCAATTTTAAATCGAGCCCAGCTGGGAAGTCTTGCTTCCTGCCTGCACAAAGGAGGTGGAATGGCTGCCCCCTCCCTGCGTCTCATCTTCAAGGCCGCTGCAACGCAGGGAGGTTGCTGTCCTGGGGCACGGGCAGGGGAAGAAATCCTAAGCCCAGCCTCGGTGCCAGAGCTTTGCCGTGTCTGGCCATGAGCAGTGGTGAAGGAGGCTGTTTTTGGGAGCATTGGGCACTGCTGTGTGCAAGGCTGGGGACTGTGGCTCCAGGGTCAAGCTGTTCTCCCTGTGCTGCCCCAGCACCCTCTACCTGCCCCGTTTCCTTTCAGATTGCCCGGCTGGAGCAGACCTGGATGGTGCTGAGGCAGCGGCACACCGAGGGTGCAATCCTCTATGAGAAGAAGCTTAAGCCATTCCTGAAGAGCCTGAATGAAGGGAAAGGTAACTGGAGCAGTTCCCCTTGTCTCACTTGCTTTCTCCTTCCCACATTTGTCTGGGCACAGCGTCACTGTTTGAGAGCTCTGACCCTGTCCCAGCCAGTGCCAGACACCCTCTGGCTGCTGAGCCACCCCAGCACTCAGCAGAGCCTGTCTGGCCTTGTTTGCCCCTTCCTTCCCAAGGAAGCATTTCATAACTAAATAAAACCAGCAGCTGAGCCAAACCGTGGCGCTCGCATGGCAGTGAGTGCCAAACCAAGGGACGGAGCAGCCAGTTGGAAAGATGAAAAGCCATGTGTCTCTAATGCCTGGTGCCCCCGTGGTCTGCAAACCTGCTCCTCATTGCAGCCCCGGGAAATGCAGCCTGAGCATGGCCATCAGCTTTCCCTTCCCAGAAACCCCGGCTGGGAGGGGCTGGTGTTGGACAAGCAATGGCCCCAGGCACAAACAGCAGCTGCTGTGTCCAGCTGAGCCTTGGAGCCTCTCCTGGGAGCATGGTGGCAGCCTGGTGTCACAGCAGCGTTTGTCACACGAGCACTCCACAGGGAGGTGGGAAGGGGGACGCAGGGTTACAGGGGCATGCTGGATTCTAAGAGTGCCTCTCTCCCCAGAAGGACCACCGCTGACCAACACCACCTTTCCCCACATCATACCCCTCGTGACCCTGCTGGAGAGGGATGAGGCTCTCACAGAAAGCCCCGAGCCCTGGGAGGCCACTGACAGCGGCGTGGAGGTGGTCATGGCCCACCTGGAGGCAGCACGGATGGTGGCCCACCATGGTGGCCTCTACCACACCAACGCCGAGGTGAAGCTGCAGGGTAAGCAGCAGGGACAGCACAGCCCCTTTCCCTCTGCCACACCCCAGCCCCAGGATGGAGCATCATCCACGGCTGCAGGGGGTGCCATCCCAGGGAACTGACTCTCCCTTCCTCTCACAGGTTTCCAGGGCAAAGCGGAGCTGCTGGAAGTGTTCAGCACCGAGTTCCAGCTGCGGCTGCTGTGGGGCAGCCGTGGGGCTGAGAGCAGCCAGGCTGAGCGCTACGAGAAGTTCGACAAGGTGCTCACTGCCCTGTCCCACAAGCTGGAGCCAGCAGTGCGCTTCAGCGAGCTGTGAACCCCCCCAGCTCCCAGCCTGCAGCCCACCAGTGGCTCTGGGCAGGGAATGGACCAGGCACCCAGCACCAGGAGGAGGAGAGATGGCCCAGAAAGGCACAGGCGTGGGTTGGCAGTTTTGAGACAAAGAGGAGGAAAAGCAGCCATCTCAAATCTACACCCATCTCTTCAGGACACAACAAGCCAGGGGTCCTGTTGCTACTCTGTTGCTACAGGGGTCCTCTTCAGTGCTACTCTGAAGAGTGGGGACAGTGTCTGGGCTAGCCAGCACTGGCCTCCACACCCAGCCCTGCCGAGGTCCACATGGTGCCCCTCACCTCACCCTTTGGTTTTTGTTTTTTCCATCTCCATCTTGCCCACAGCTGCTGGATCCTGTGTGTAAATATATTTTCATGATGACTTCTTGATGTACAGACTTGTGAAGGACAGTCCTTGTTGTAAATAATTAGGCTTATTCATTTTGTCATGTAAATACATGTACATATCTCATGGGTTTTGTTCTTACATACAATAAACTTTTATCCCGTTCCTCAAGGGGACCCCCTGTCCTGTGGGTGTCCTTTAAAGGAGCCCCCCCCCGGGGAAGCAGAACATGGGAAGGGCTGATGGGGGGAATCACCATGCTGAGCCTGGCCCCAGACCCCATGGTGGCCCAGTGACAGCCCTTCTGAGGGGGGCTGTGTGTAACAGGATTGTTCAGGTGGGAAGGGACCACAGTGGGTCATCTGCTCCCACCTCCCTGTGGACTCCACAACCTCTCTGGACAACTGGTTCCAGTGCATGGCCATTGCACTGTAAAGAAGTTTTTACTTGTGTTCAGGTGGAACTTCCTGGGCATCAGTTTCATCAGTTTCTACCCATTGACTCTTGTTCGCAGCACCACTGGGCAGAGCCTGGTTCATCTTGGCACCTCCCCTTAGGCGTATAATTATATATGTATGAGCAGAGATGCAGGATCATCACCTCTCTGACCAGCTGGCAATACTCTCTCTAATCCACCCCAGGATCCCCCTGGCCTTGTTGTCCCTCAGGGCACACTGCTGGCTCACAGACTCTTGTTGTCCACCAGGACCCCCCAGCCCTTTCTGCAGAGCTGCTTTCTGTGTCAGCCCCCAGCCGGTACCGGTGTTTGGGGCTGTTCCTCCTCAGGTGCAAGACCCTGCATTTGTTGAATTTCAGAAATTGTTCTCTGCGAGACGGTCGCGGGTCCCCCAAGCACGAGGGGACAGAGGGGACAAGGGGGACAGGGACCTTGATCAGGTGGGGGGCGGGGCGATATGGGACAGAACACGCCTCCTTTGTGCATGACCACGCCTCTTTCCCATGGCGGGTCTTTCTGGCCCCGCCTCCGC